TAACATCATCTGCCAAAAGCGAATCACTTTTTCCCAACCTAAAGGTAAAAGTTCAATAAAGCCCCCAATCATCCCTAAACATTGAGACAAAACCACATTCCAATTTTTGCCCACATCCATTTAACAAATTTTTACATGATGTTAGTAAGTGGTTAGCAGAAACGTCTGCTGAGAGTCTGTCTATATTACAGCAAGATCCAGAAATATTTGGACACTGACTCGGTTTTCACAATTTTGCCTCTATACATCACCACAATGGATTTGAAATGAAACAACCAAGATGCAACTGAAGTGCAGACTTCCAGCTTTAATTAAAGTGGTTGAACAAAATATTGTATGAAACGTTTAGATATTGCAACCAGTTTCATACACAGTTCCCTTTTTTCAGGGGCTCAAATGTAATTGGACAAATTAACAAAATCATAAATAAAATGTATATTTTTTAAGACTTTGTCGAGAATCCTTTGCAGGCAGTGACTACTTGAAGTCTGAAACGCATGGTCATCACCAAATGCTGGGTCTCCTCCTTTGTGACGCTTTATCAAGCTTTTACTGCAGCTGTCTTTAGTTGTTGTTTGTTCATGGGTGTTTCTACCTTACCTTTTGTCTTCAACAAGTGAAATGCATGCTCGATCGGGTTGAGATCAGGAGATTGACTCGGCCATTTGTTTATGCCTTAAAAACCTCCTGGGTTTCTTTCGCAGTATGGGTCATTGTCCATCTGTAAAGTGAAGCGCTGTCCAATCAGCTTCTCTGAATTTGGTAAAGTGTTTTTTACTTGGCTGGGTGTTTTAAAGTGGTTTTTCTTTAACGTGGAAAGGAGTCTATGATGATCCTCCACTGTTGTTTTCCCTGGGTGTCCTTGACTTGCAGAGCTCACCACTGCATTATTTTTCCTCAGAATATACCAAAATGTTGCTTTGGCCACTCCTAATGTTCCTGCTATCACCCTGGGGTTTTTTTCAGCTTAAGGATGGCCTGTTTCCCTTGCATTGATAGCTCCTTTGACCACATGTTGTGGGTTCACAGCAACAGTTTCCAAATGTAAATGCCACACCCAGAATCAGCTCCAGACCTTTTACTTGCTTAATTGATGAAGAAATAATGAAGGAATAGCCCACACCTGTCCATGAAACAACTTGTAAGTCAACTGTCCAATTTTGGACTCTTTTAAAAAGAGGGGTCTGCATATTAAAGTATTAAAATATTAGATGTATTATGCTGTAATTCATAAACCCTTCTTCCAATTTGGATGTAAATACCCTCAAATTATAGCTGAGAGACTGCACTTTAAGCACATATTCATTATTTAACTTGAATTTACTTTAGTAAACAGCCAAAATAACAAAACATTTGTCAGTGTCCAATATTTCCAAAATAACTGTATATGTGAATAGTAAACTTGGTTTATAAATTATATCTGTCTATATCCCAGGTACCCTTGAATTTCCTTGCAATATTTGTCTTTACTGCTTTAACTGAGAGTTATCCACCCTTTCTGTAAAGATGTGTTTATGCACATTGCCCCTGTGGCAGAACCAACCTCGCCACTGGCCACTGGAGGAGCCTGGTCGCCCCCCTCCTGCCGCTGGACTATGGCCCCATGTTTAACACTGTTCTTTTTCCCTGCAGAAAGGCTGGTTCGTGCCTTTCTGCGGACTGTTAAAGTCACGAACACCGCTGAGCCGCCGACCTCCCTTCTCCTACCTGTCCATTCGGTACTTTACTGCTTAAACCATGCTACCCCAGATGGCTATGCCATGGAGCCCAGCTGTATACTGAAAGACTGTATGAAAGACTTTTGCTCCATGGCGATTGAACTGTATGTGATCTGAGCGCAATTCGGTAATAATGTGCGCTCAGATCTAAGCTATCTGGGGATAGGTAGAATGTGTATGTTCTATGTAATAACTGTAACAGTATGTATTTTTATGTCTTTTATTGTCCTTTGTCTGCCATGTGGTTAATGGAGTTTTGCCTCTGTCCTTGGAGATAATTGAATTACTTCACAATTATCTCCAGGACAGAGAGGCGGAATTGTGATGCATTGTGGGATTGTAAGCTTGTGATTGGTCAATGTCCAATATGTTTCCCAGTCTTCCATCTGGTCCCCTAGGGGAGTGTCCACCAGGTGGGAGACCTGCATAAAAGCCGGGCAGGTAGCCCCAATAAATCAGTTCTGCTTGATCCTCAAACGAAGTGTCATCTTGTTCTTGGGAGGAATTGGATTGTATGCTGTTACAGTTCGACTGCCAGGAGTGTAAGCTGTTCGGATGGTTATTCCTGTTCGGCTGTTTAACAGCATTCGTGTGTTCTGGGGATGGTGAATTTGTGTTTTTCCGGTTCGGGAGTTGGTGAATTTGTGTGTTTCATGTTCGGGAGTTTGAGTATTCATGTGTTTGCAATTCGGGAGATTGGTGCTTGCAGCAGCTGTTCGTGTATTTAATAGGGGAATATCGCCTAAACGGTTTTTAACCTCTTATGTGCAAAACGGTCCGTTACAGCCCCTGAACCTGTTACACTCCAACTTGAGATCATGACCCTTTTTCTGGTTTTCCTCTTTCTGTTAAAATTGCTTTCAGCATAAACTAATTTTATGACAAGACAGGAGGCTTCGGAATTGCTTATCTTTCTTTACTGAACCTTCCAGCAGCAAATAAATAGTTAACAATGATGTAAAAAAATTAACCAATCAGAGAGTATAACAGTATTATATTATGTCATCAAGCTCCTCCCAATTCCTCTTTCTTTGCTGCTTGCCTCCCAGGTGAGTCTACTCCAATTACATTGCCTTTTGGTAAATGTTTATTAGTATATATTTATTGTATTTCTCTCTATAGACACTTCATACGTTTTGTTATGGATCACTATCAATCCTAATATCCACCTAGTAGCTGTATATTATATGTTTATTGCTAACTTTTACACCCTCCGTTTAAAATATACACATATATCTTTAAGCCAGTTATTGCTGGCTCTGTAACTCATCAAACCCCTTCTTTATAAACAAAACCTTTCGTCATACCCGTTATATGGGCATTAGTGGTCGCAGCTCTCTCTTTCATAAGAGACGGCGATCCATCCTTCCCTCAGCTGCGGACTCTATTTCCCATGAGTCCGCGGCTATTACCTTTTCGTGCCCTTTTTCGGCTTCCCGCCCTTTCGCGCCTTCTATGACACGCTTCCTTCTTCGCCCTCTGACTGACGGCGGCCATCTTCCGACGAGTTTCCCGCTCTTTTCGGCATGGATTTTCATCTCGGCGGTCGGAACTCCTCAGGCTTTCCACTGAACTTGGTAAATACTAATTTTTTCTTTAGCACAACTCAATTAAAGTGCTACTATTACTCTAGGTATATTTTTATCATTCATTTTATTTCCCTCTGTATTTCTTCACAGATAACCAACGAAATACAAACCTGCTAGGATTTATTTTTTCAATAAAGGAGGGCTTTTGTGAGTAACCCCCACTTACTACTGAATCATTCTGTGTGTCATTTTCGGTGACCCCCACCTCATACCATACAGTATTAACAATTATAGTGGGTGACCCCCACTTTTCTTATCTCACTCAAGTGTCTTAAAGTGTATTAACACTTATACTACAGTGATTGATCCCCACCTCTTACTCATAATAAAGTTACAGGTGATCTCACCTTTGAATCAATAGTGGTAACCCCACATATATTTCTAATATTGTGTATATGTACACCTGGTTTAACACTTGCAAGTGAACCACACTGCCAGTTATCATTATAGTGGCTAAATCCACTCACTATAAATCAGTGGCTAATCCCATTAAATATGAAAGTGACCCCCATTTATTGCAAATTCTCTGATTTCACTATTGTCAGTTCTACCACATAAAACCAACATGTCTGACCAGTCTGGGCCTGCAGTTTCACAGGAACTTCGTTCCTGGCTCATTTCCACTATTGCAGAATCTATCCCCAAGGCGCTAGCAGCCTTCCATGGCAAGATCTCTACCGAGGTTAACCCCACTACGCGACTGCCCTCTGATTCCAAAGATTCCCAACATTCGGATCAGGAAGAGGTAATGCGCAAATGCCCCTGGAAAGGGGATAGTATGTCTGGAGCAAAGGGCAAGGCTCCCGCCAAGTCCCTTAACTTGCCCTTCTCGCGCCCCACACATGGTACTACAGACCTCTTAGAAGGTTCTACATCTGTGGTAGATGATTATTATCTTGGCTATTCTGATAGGGAGTCTTCAGCGAATGCGCTACGAGACCCCTCATCGGAATTTGTCAAAGAAACTTATATAGATGCTCCAGGCTCCAATCACACTAAACCCATGGAACCCGAGTCAGACACCCTTCTGGATGCTTCTGGCGCTCCCTTTTTTGACCCAAGGGTCATTAAACACCCACGCTCTGACAAATGGGCCCCGCCTGCTCACATCTCCAACTTCTGTAAGATGTGGCTGCGTAAGCCTTTAGAAAAGGAGATAAGAGCTAAACTTAGAGCTGAACGCCCTCAGCCAACTATTCCAAAAAAATTTGCAAATACGCTAGAATTTGACCCTTTGTTGGTGACATTTCTCACTAGATCAGGCAAAGACCCCCGCAAAGGTATCGAACAAGGTCTTAGATCGACCCCACTTTTGGAGCACACTCAGTCAGAGGAGAAGCCACATCCTCTGCCTTTCGTGAAGGCAGTTTCCTCTCAGACATCCTATCATCTGCGGATTGGTCCAGAGAATCGACTTTTCGTAC